ATTTTATTTTTTTTTTTCTGGACACAGAAATAAGACAAACCTTTAAATTAGACAAGAGGATTTTAGTAATATTAAAATTTATTGAATAATCAGATTTATTGAATAAAATATTATAAAAAAGGGTTCTCAAAATTTTAAAGTAAATCCGTTTTCAAGTTTTCTATTTTGAGAAACATTTTTTCAGAATGACAAAGAGAACGAGTTTTCAACAATTTCAAAACAGACACTCAAAACAGAAAACACGAAATGAATTCAAAATTCAAAACACAAAAATGAAACACGAAGAGAACGGCCTCTAACATTTCCTATGGAAAATGAAGTTAATCAATCACGCTCTTAAGAGTTGTCACCTTGAAAGGTCATTAAGAAAAATAGTCAACCCACTTATATATTAATTATTATTTTCAAATTTAATCAACTTAGAACATTACTTTGATATAACCCATTATATTAAGGCTTGCTAAAAATTATTAATCTTGAAATTCAAGTTGTTCGAGCTTTATACTGTTCAAAATGTTCGACTGTACTTGTTAAGCTCTGGTATGATATTGAATGAAATTACATCTTAAATTGTCAATATTGTCAACTTGAATAGCCCATGTCCAATTCAATGTCGTACTTGGTTTCTTTCCTTTTTCTTTGAATAAAGTTAATTGTACAATGATTGTTGACACCTTTTGATGACAATTCATGTGTCGTCGAGATTTGTATAGTTGATTTAAAAAATAATTTTTGAAATGGATAATATAGATTTTGCCAACTCATGATTATCAATCATAATTGTATATGAAGCATGACTCTTTTTTTTGGTGCCATCCAAAATTGTACCCATTGTTTACTCATCAATAATCTATACGTTATCAAAAAGAAAGCTAGAGATTATAGAGAATATTTTATTCTTCCTGAAATTTTTCCTCTAATTACTTGATGTTGGAAATACCACTGGGGTTGGAGAAGAAACTCACTAAAGTGTACAGCAACAATATAAACAAACCTGAATCAAAATAAAAGGTCAAACGCGTAATTGCTGCCCTCAAACTATATTTGCCCCCACTCTAATTAATTGAGATGCTTAAGGATTTTCGACAAATGATTTGAAAGATTGATCAAGCCTTGTTGCAGAAAATATTAAAACACAAATATTTTTCACCCAAACTTGAAAAACACAAAGGGGTTTTGAATATGAAGAAGAAAATATGATTTCTATTGCTATGGAATAAATAAGGTTACAATAATAATTTTTTCATTATTCTCAAATGAGTAGGGATCACCTATTTATAGCCCTCAAGGGTTGTCCACAGAATGGTGCCAAAATAGGATGAAAAGTCACCAAGTTTAAAATGACAACGGCAAAAAACTGCAAAAATTATGATCTATGTGGCCGCATAGGCTAAACCTATGTGACCGCATATTGAACTATGTGGTCGCATAGTTCAAAACCTAGGCCTTCATCCCCAATTTCCATTCCAAGTTTGATTTTATTATTTTGAACAACCAATTTCAATAGTCGATTCTTACCAATCCTTTTCCCTGTAAACCAGTTCAATATCATCTTTAGACAACCTCCCGTAACTATAATAAAAGAGGAGTCTCTGCCAGCGCAGTGGTAAAGTAGAAGAGTTCTTTACGGAACATCGGATGTTTGAATTCACACGGCAGCTGGAAGGCAACATTTTATGTTGGAAATCAGATGTCCTGTGGTGGTAAAGTTATGATTCGCTTTGTCGCCCCTGCAAGGGTCCTGTCTGCACGTCGTAAAGGGAGGTCCACAGGGAGGAGAACTGCTTTATGAATGTTCGGCCAAAGTGTGTATAAGTTGTAACCATAGATGGATTTACCCGGGTGACGAATTAGGGGAAGACCGCCACTCCTCAGGAGTAGTCGTGCGAAACTCGGACACCCGAGTCATTAAAAAAAAAAAGGAGGAGTCTCTTTTATAGAAAACATAATACAATTTCTTATATTTTCTTCACTCAAAATATATTAATGGCCTGTTTGACATGACTTTTAAAAAGTCAAAAAAAGATTTTTAAACCCAAAAGCTCATTTTGGACCAATTTGGCTAAATGTCATCTAACACTAGTCTGGGTGATCACACTTGATAAATTCATTTAAATGAATCACGTGACATTACATTTAAGTAAATCTATTATTTATTTTCATGTAATTGCGACTTAAACTGATACTTGACACTAGTAGTGTTGAATATCATTACTTGTTTATGAAAGCGTTTCTTTTAGTTAGAAAAACTTTTAGAGATGTTGATCAAATGTGACTTTCTCAAAAAACACTACTGTATTTTTCCACTCAAATTCCTATTTTTTGGATTTTTGATTGACAATTTTTTTCATGAAAAATATTTTCCAATTTTTGATTTGTGACCATGCTTTTCTAAAAAACAACGAAAACATTTTCTTTAGAGATAAATGATTATTATTTTTTAGGTAATTCACTCTCTCTTTCTCTATTTCGTCTACCCCCCCTCTCATTTACCAACCAATAAAAAATAAACAAGTATAATATACTTTAGGTTAAAAGTTAAATCAATCAAAAACATTTAATCAATAATTGTCATATAAATAAGGTCTAAGCCATTAATTCATTTTCTTTCTATACTCAAAATCAAACGCACCGTTATAGAATGAGTAATGATATGTAGCGCCACTTAAGTTATAATCCTGTCTAGCGGCGGGGCCAAAATATTTTATTTGGGTGGAGAAAAATTATATAACAAAAATAATTATAAATAATATAACTATAATTATTCCCGACGTATTTTCGTATTTTGAAAACATTGTATAATTATATTATTATCAATTTCGTTAAAAATATTTTTCTCAATAGATAAAATATTGCTTTGTTTTAATACTAAATCATTTCAAGAAACTGCTGACTAAAACCTTCTAAGAAGTATATGGAGACTGCACACAGACCAAAGATGAAAATTGAATTCTCAATTTCCCTCTCTGGCTCCCGCGCTACTTACAACTACACCAATAATAAAAATTAGAAGAAGAAAAAGTCATTTTAAATCCTAGATCTGAAAACCCAAAAGTAAGCACAGAAAAACAAGTACGATTAACTGAAAGAGAACCGAACTATTAATTCAAATAACATGTTAGAATATAAATCAAAATAATGCCAGCTACCCAGATCTAAATATCTTACAATAATCCAAATTCACAAAAAAACACATTTCATTTTACAAAAGAAATCATGTGTGTATATATATATATACAGAAATGATCTAATGAGCATCGGTGCTCATCTTATTCTAAGCATCGATGAGTTTGCACATTAATTCATTGGTGGATAGGGCTATGCATTCGGTGAAATCGGATGACGGTTGGACACAGCAGATTCTAGTGGTGATTAGGATGAGTGAAAGCATATTGACTGTTGAGGCTTCATTGAGAGAGTATAATTGTACATTTAGGGTGAGTTTGATTGCAATGGTGGAAAATTGGTGGAAAGAAAATGAATTATAGGGAAAATAATTGTTTAGAAATTGTTTTGCAGAGAATTGTTAATTAAGTGTGTTTGATTGATATAATTTTTCACCCGGAAAATTTTTAAATTTTGTGTTCGTTTGGCCTTCGTTTGCATCAAAATTGTCTATTAAAGTGATAATTTTTTCACACTTGGTTATAAAATTTGTTTCCATTCCAAAAAAGTAAAAAAAAAAAAAATGAAAAAAAAATGTTTCCTAAAAAATCATTTTTTTAATCAAAGTTTAGCCTTCGTTTGTATCAAAATTGTCCATGAAACTGAAATTTTTTTTTTAACACTTGGTTATGAAATTTGTTTTCATTGTTAAAAAAA